AAAAAGACAGAAAAAATTATCCCAAAGCACTGAGAACCAAACAACACACTGTGGGACATGAGCTCACGCCATGAATGTCTACTGATCGGTAGAGTGGCTAACTTCCAAAAGTAATCCGGAATAGTGAAAAACGCCAATGAAACACTTGCGTGGAATTGTGCTGCTGTACACCCACACCGAGTAAAATGTTAAGTCGCATCACCGTGGAGAGAATGAAAGATGCACTGGATGCAGGGCTCCGGCAACTGATTCAGCAAAGAAAAAGCATGTGCTGATCAAATGGCACATCCTCATCTACACATTGTCATCGAACAAAGCATGGAATGGCAGTCGAAACTGTATCTTAACTCCATGGCCTTCGACAATACCTTCGACAGAGCAACGTTAATAGAGAAGTAATTCGGAAACCACTTCAACACTACAGTGTGCAGAGCCCAAGTCCGCTTTTATAATAAGGACGAAAATCACTTTATTCCAAACAATAATAATCATTATGCAGAATGGAATTCTCTGCGCTTTTTACGCCCATTGCAACAGTTCATCTCCTTTTATAAAGATGTACTTACCTAATATGTAAAACAGCAATAATAATAATAACAGTAATTACTATTATTATTTTTATGAAACCATTAAAAACGAGATGTCGATGGAAATGTAATGAAGTCTAGGTAGATAGTTTCACTGATAATACACGTAATAATAATCTTTGTTTATACTTCACAGTTCACCCACTGATTTAGAAAGTGTATAAATTCTTTTCTGACATCTGACTCTCACTTCACACAAAACCCGTGCTAAGTATGGTATCGTAGAATTTTTATGTTTATAAGCACGAGCGTAAATTCATTTGAAGTCTGTTCTGGTTTTACCGACGAGATATAAGGAGAAAGTTAAGAAAAAAGAGGTTGTTCGGTGGTACCAGGCAAGATAACTTTAGACAAATGCTTGCAAGAATTGAAGCGTCTACTGACAGTAATGTAATCTAGCTGAGTCGAAATCACACCATCAGCCAACCCTACCTACAGTCTGCAGTGTTCTACTTAATATGAGAAAGCGAAGACAGGATTTCAGGTGGGCACAGATAAGACGGAGGTGATGAAGATGCTCGTCGACCAACAACACCAACAACAACTTGCATCAATCATCATCAATAGGAGGAGAGATTTTTCAGAGGTTACTTCTTTTACTCATTTGACTAGGAACTGTCGATTCATTGAACGACAAGCGACATCGCGGATGAAGATGTAAGAGCTGGCAAGAATGGGGAAGACGAGAAATGCCTTCATCAACCTGAAACCAGTTCGGAAATATTCTGTAATCAGCCATGGTATAATTCAAAGAATACTCTGTGCTTCTCTACTGTTAGTCAGCTGACAAACGCAGTGAAATACAACAATCACTTGACGTTTGTGGACACAGCAACGCAAACAAAATTACACAACTGAGATAAAACAAATATTAAATTGATTCAGGCATTGCCAGTTATTTTCATCGAAGCTACACTCACGATTTCCCGCTTCGTCAGATAAAGAAGCAAATGGCAATAATACATCTTAGTCGTCAAACCAGACATAATCATTGAGGAAAGTAGTCGTTCAAATCCAGTGGTAAGAGTAACAGTCTCTGAAAAGAATGACACCGTAATGACTTCTAAGAACAGATCACTCTGACGGTTCAGATAAGATTTCGACGGTCAATTCCACTGACCTACAAACACAACAAATTTTCTCAGGACACAAAGTCAACCTGGGTGGAATGTAGACATGGTATTCAAAATTCAATTGAGTTTCCAAAAGTTGGCACTATCTCAAAGAGGACTACGCCGGTATGGCCTAATTCGATTAATCCAGATGAAGTTAGTTTCGTTGGTGCCAAACTACTGACTGAGCTACCTGAGAAATTAGTAATTTTGTGTCAGTGTTAGACATTCCAGCCGAACTGGTGTGAGTCAGTTATTACACTGATCTGTGAGTAATCCGGTGACAAATGTGTTAGAATTAGTTTGACTAGAATGTCATTTGAAATTGTAGGTTAAATAAACATACAGGGACTGAGAGGTGATGTAGAGGATCAAAACCTGAGAAGGCACTACGACATTAGATTGGAGAGAGAGTGAAGTGATCACATTTCGACGCCTCGACAGATTCTCTAATATAGTAATAACAACTGGAGTCAAATGCTTCTCATAATTAGATTTAGCTGTGCTGTTCAAGCTGGTGGATGGAAATGCGAAACTTCAGTTGTTTCTATTCTCGACAACATCTGCAGCGCACGTCCCAGTATAGAATGAACTTGTTCACAGTCATAGCAAACACCTTTGTAAGCCTTCAATTGTAATCAAACGAGGAAATGCAATCATTGAAATAACATTATTTCAAACACCTTATTTCAAATACATGTACTCGCTATATTTCGGTGAGATTTTCAGTGTTTGTGGATGTTCGTGTGTGGCATGTTTGTACATTTAACAGATTGTATATGATGGATTGCGTGGAATAAATGCATTAGACTCATGAAGTGACGAATTATTGCTTCACAGGAGTTACCCGTACTTGTAGGAAAATGATGGAGACCGAGTCGTGAGTGATAATGAGATGCACTCTGTTGGTGTCCTGCAAGATTTCTTAATTGTTGTCCACAACATCTTGTGATGGAAGTGATGCAGAGTCATTTTCACTAGACTAAACGTGAGCAGAATGAATACTCTCATTTTTGCACATTCACATTTAATTTAGACTACGCGAAATCTGATGGAACCAATCATGACGATTGTGGGCATCTTTCTGTTCGTTCGTCACCTAACAGGAGTAACCAAATCCATAAAGTCAACGTCATTCCACCTGATGAATTTGACTACATTGATAAATATCATTTAAACGCCTTCCCTTTAATGCTTCACATTCCCGAATCTCACACTTACTTCATCAGAATGGCGTAATCTTTCCAATGCCAGGAATATCTAGTGACAACATGATTTGGATTCTCACAGACTCCATATCATTGTTCTGATATCTGCACATCATATGTTCACTTCATGCTCATTATTTGTCATTCACCCCATCAGATCTCTAATTTCAGTGCTTCTCTCTCTGGCTTTACGATACACAGATATTGCGATGTCTTACTATTTGATATAGTTTGAGTGAATCAAGAGAGCTGTGACCTTCTACTGTCTCCACGAATTGCTTGTGTGTTATCCTTACGAGTAGAGTTTTGATCACACCTTCTTGTGAATATTCTACTGCATTCTTAGTTCCTCCTTGCGGTGGAATTTCGGATCACTTATTTTCTCTATGGTAGATGTTCTGAATTGCGGATATCTCTTCTCTATATATAGTTGAAACTGCTAGAAAATAGTATACGATGAACGGTTACTTGTGTTCACATCACAACTATTCGGCTGATCTCGTTACATACTGGTTTCCGAGGCGAATTCTACACACTTCATCATATTTAGATAACATTCTGTGTTTTCTAATTCAGTTCTGTCTAAATAGTATCAGTGATGAGTAGTTATTGTACTCATCATCACCTTGCTAGTTACTGGAATCATCACCTAACATCTGGCCACTTATTCGATTTCAAATGGAAACGTGTTTTACCTGCACTCGGTACACTTTGTACATGTTAACCGCAATCACCTCCTCCAAATGAGTGGCTTCAACTGCATTCGATTTGAAGTCGGTGAAGTGCATATGGCTTCACGCTTCTGTTTGCCACTAAAACAGTAGATCTAATTGCGCCTACCACATGGTTCATGTGTGTGAATATGACAAAGCACGATTTGTGCCATTATAACTCTCTCTCTGTCCTCTCTGAATTATCTCATGCACATTTAACTGATGGAATCAGTCTCCTAACAGCGCCCTGATGACCGATCTGACATTACTACATATTCGAAGACGACAGTCGACTGCAAGTAACTCATCGTTGATTCAAAAATTAGGCACACTACACCACAGTCGGCAGTTCAATAAAGCTTGAATTCATAATGAGAAAGCGGTGTAGCAGATTAATGATTTGTTTAATTTAATTAAAAAAGAAATGTTTACGAAAGCTTCTACAGTCCACTTGTATTCATCAGTAGTATGTCGACGTTGACGTTTGTCTAGATGCGCCTCTTCACTATCCTGCATGAGATTAAATTCAAATCATCGGTTTAGTTGGATGAAATGTTAGTGGTTAAACAGTAGAGCAACATGTATACTGGAGAGAAGAATACTTGGTGGCGAATTGTATGCTTACTCATGGAGTATGCGAATTCTGAATATTTTCAGTGAGTGATAATTTCAATCTTCATTGTTTGTCGGAGCATACGAGTTGCTACATTTCTATAATTCACTATTGTTCGTGTGAAATTCACTAATCATAATAACTTCGATGACATTATTGAAATGTGTATGTGTTTTCTCATACATTCATGACACCATCTGTTTAGAACTGCTATAACATTATTCATTGGTGGATTTACACACGGTAACTCACAACGCCACTCATGATTCTTTCACTATTAGACTAAATGGGCGTATTCGAGGCTGTAATTTCAACCACATATTCATAAATCAATATTTGACCTGAGCTGTGGGACTCAAGTCGATGGTGGGACATATTTTCTAAGTGTTGAAATGAATATAAGAATCCTGTTTTGCGCTTTTCTCATTCATCTTCCCCCACACTCTCACAATTCGTGCACTTGAAACTCGATTCGCAAATCCATTAAGAGACCTTCGTAAGATAAAATGTGGAAAGATAATGGGAAATTAATCTCACCTCTGGTGATATGTGTTGTGTACAGATTCTCAAGAACTAGAAACGATGAAACATTTTGGGAATTATTTGAATGGTTTAATTAAAATAATTGTTGCATATAACTGAGTTTGTCTGCTAACTAACAGTAGAGAAGCACCGACTACTCTCTCATTCCTACCACTGCCATCACAGTGTTTCCTCATACATATTTCCGATTGTACAGTTTATTATTGCAGAGAAAATAAACTCACAAATGCTCATGCCATATACGCCTCTATATTCGGCTACTTGTTTGATTGCTGAATTCAGTACATCCAGATCTGAAATAATTCATAAATGGATACCTAACAGAATACATTTCCCAAGGTGATTCATTGACATTCAAACTCAAACTACGCGGCATTACATGACGCAAAACAAACTGATCGGCACAGAGATTCAATCAGTTGACTACTCCACAAACTCATCTACTTGCATGATGTCTTCTCACGTTGTCCAAACTGCTGTCATCAAGTCACTATGTCAGTACTCATTCAATTTCACAGTTAACAAATTGTCTTCTAGTGTGTGCTTCTATTCGCAATCACACCATCTGAACAATTCCATTTGTAGACGACTGACAACATTCTAAACACTGGACTTGTTCATCCTCCTTCAGACATAAATTTTTAACTCTTTGAAAATGCTCATCACAGAATACCGTATAAGAAGTGGACGTTCATGAAATCAAATCATGATGAAGGTATTGTGATAGATGAAAATATACCATCATCGTAAATGTATGTGAAAACGTTATTCATTTCAAAATGAATGTAAATGAACAGCAAATTTATACTTTGGCGACTCGCTGAAGGTAGGTTTCCGAAACAGTTCTTCAAAGGGAATTCCTTCACTTTTTCTATTAATGGGTGAGTAAGAGTAGGGAAACAGTTTGATTATTAAGCTGAATTTACATCAGATATGTGGAGACAGGGATTTCGAAAATTCGTACGCCACACAGAAAAAACAATTCAGACGGATTGGTGTAATAAAATGCTCCTTACCACGATATGCAGAGGCCTCTTCTTTGCAACAATTCACTACATCAGCTAGATTCACATCACGGTCTGCAAATAAATGAGTTTCGCACACATTAATGCATGTCTGTCGTTTTTAGTATAAAACTTATTCACATTTATGCATGTTTAACGCAAACAAAATCACAATTCAGACGAAAATATATATATACTGATTTACGTATTGTAAATGTGTATCCGAAATGAGAAATAGGTAGTTGAACATCTGTCGTCAATCAGTTCCTAATGTTCTGTGAAGGAGGAAATTCCCCCTATTTATTTGAAATTCGAAAATAGAAAGGCATGAATGAAATACTAGTTGACACGTTACCTCGAGAATATACACAAGGTCAATTTTTTTAGCCAGAATATTGATGCGAAATAATTATGATGGTAAGTAAGAAAATAGGTACAGATACGATTTCAAATTTTCAACTTACAGTGCGAGAGTTTTCTTGCAAGGCCTTGGAAAGATATATAGAGCTAAGCATATTGAGTAGACCAGGTCAATTTGTAAATGAGAAACTTGCAATCATTTATCACTCTGCAGTGAGGCAGTCGTTTATTATTGAAATGGTCAATGAGGAAGCATATCACCGATTGTGAGTGTATTAGGATGCTGATTTCTGATTTAATAAATGAAAGCACAATGTAGTGAATAAACTTTGTGAATAAAATTCTATTTTAATTGAAAAATTACTAGAACGTACTGTCGAATACTATCACTCCCCAGTTGTATGTGTGTGCAGCTTCCAGGCAATCAATATCTAAAATAGATCGTTCGTAATTCCAATACATTCGGTTTGCTTACGGTTGTCTAATTCAACTCGTGAGTTTGGATTTAATCTGTGAAGCAATTCTAGGGAAACAGGAATGTGAAAGTAAGGGTTGAATGTTTACAACTTGTGAAGACGTATATTTCAAGTGTGTCATTATCTGTTACATACCAGACAACATGATGTATTGATGTCGTCATACTTATCACTTCGTAAGTATAATTCAGAGCATATTTTCGTCAACGGAAAAATATTGTCGACTATAAAGCTTTTAGTTTAATTTACCTTTCATTCCTCGTGTAGCATCTTCGGCTGATTCCAGATGCGGAATTATTTCTAATGTTTTATCTATGGGGAAACAAGAACACCTTGAATGAACTGTCATGAAGCAAGTAAGATAACTGAATACAAGGGAGTAACATACATTGAAATAGTTACATTGAAGATGTCCGAAGGCATATCAGTTAAGGCAGTCAGCATACTTCGATAATCTATCTTTGTCAGTGTTTCCGTGCCAGTCATTCTCCAACCTGTTTTTAATGGTATCATATCAATTTTGGAGTCATCAAGCAAGATCATCACAGAAAAGAGAATTGTAAGACTGTCGTAATTTGTAAGCTATTGTCAGGAAAAATTCTCAAGTCTAATGATTAATTCAAATATTATGCATTTCTAACGAACTTACTTCCAGCATCGGCAAGGCTTTCTATAGATAAAGTTTCATTCTCCGGTTCCCCTTGCTCTTCAATGAAGAAGTGTAAACGAAAATTAATATTCAGAGAAGTAGTTTCAGAATAATGAAGATCATTGGAATAATTACTCTACTTGAAATACTTCAAACTGTTCTTTAGCGCTTAATGCATACTATTACAGTGCAGAAGCGCACAATCTCAGGCAATTGATATCTTAGGAAATTATAGACTAACACGCTATCCTAATTAGAAAACATTTGTCTGTACAACTATTATTCTACACAGTATCTGAATCAGAATGAAGGTGAAAGATGCCTTCGCTATTACACTGTCGGTCATTGTCTATCAAGCAAGATGCATTTGAGGTGAAAGCACAAATCAAAAAAACTATTGCGGAATAACGGCTTAACCAGAGAGAATGACCCATGAAAGTAACCGGCGAAACGTTGAAAAGCCCCTGTGAATAAGGCAAACATTTGATAAATAATAGACCACAAATATACCATCATTTTAAGAAATGCTTACCTCCGTTTATGGCTGCAAATGCCAACAGAGTGATGACAGTTATGTGACTGTATGCAGAGTGGACCATCTTCTTATCGTAACTGACTTTCCTCATCCTTATATATACCATAACAAGCAATCATATTTAATGTCGTAATCTTATGATTGGTTGATTAAAATAATCACAATTTCATCATTCATTTGTGGAATATTTTAGGTGTTTGATTGGTGAGTGAAACAACGTCTCATGATGTCGGTGAAATGTGATAGGTGTTATGAGATCTATCAATCTGCAGACACACTTTAATTTGAATCGTAAAGATAATTCACGTGATGGCGTCCACATGGAGAAAGCACACTCACGATACGTTGTGGACGATCAGGATTAGGGAGTCATCCAGCTTTATGAGGGTTTTAATTAGCGTTTCTAATCTGCAACATAACCTGAATATTTTATCCGTTGCAAGTCAACACTCAACACACTTTGACATATTCTGAGCAGGAATCATTTATGTTAATGACTACCGACAAATCCTTCATTGGTCTTCATAGTTAAATCCCATGAATGTCAGAATAAAACAGTCAGTGGAGGGAATCTGTAATCTGGACAGATATTGTATTGAGGCAGCTAGAAGTACAAACCAGACTGTCATTTAATTTCAGCTAATATTTGGTCATTAGGAATGTGAAATACAGTGAGAATAAACCGGTAAATCACCCGACTATACACTCATAATCCACAGATACATACGCCTCATGAGTAAGTTATATTCAGTGATGTGAAGGAAATGTGAATTCTACAAAAATATAGAGGACCAAATAGAGTAAAGCGAATGTGAATCCTACTCAAAAAAGTAATGATGGAATATATTTATTATATTGTGGCAATAAAAGTATAGAACAAAATAATGATAATCAGCAGAGGTGTGGGGAGTGGTGTGAAGTTTACTAGCTGACAAATGGTAGGAAGGAGGTGAATATATGTGATGACTGTATAGTATTCACTGGTGAGAACCATCGATTACTGCGGTGATTTTGAAATCATTCTCATGTTTGGTCCTTCCTCGTATATGCTTCTCTACAAAATTTGCAGGGCTTTCTTTTTCTTACTCGATAGTTTTCAGATTCCAGACGAAAATGAGAAGATCCCATGACAACATTATCTATTTATCTAGAAGCCTCAGTGTTAACAATAAATTGCATCTTCACCATACGTTTCAGTGATAGTAACATTGGTTAACATTGAGATTACATCTAAAGTTACCAGTTGTACATGTTAAGTTCATATCTACAATTATATCAAGAAAAGTGCACACATCATGTATAACTCATTCGACTGTCCCTCGACTTAGAGGACCCGGGAAACACAAATATCACTGAACAGGTAAATAATATAGTTAATTTGATGTTGACGAAACAGAAGGTAGAAGGACTATCTGCTCATAGATTTCCACTCAACCGTTAAGATTCCTTGTATGAGCCTTAGATTGAATGATTGGATCGGAAGCACATGAGTAAGGTATATTCTTCTCTTTTAGGGACTTCAGCGTTTCAACAATCTGGCGCTCCATAGCCCCATTCTAGTCGTTGTTTACTGCAAGACGCTGTTCAAAATTGGAAACGACCAGCCACTGGGGAGTCTGATTCTTCGATATAGTCAAATTTATTCAGTGTAAGAATATCAGGTCTGAGGATTATATGACTATCACCTGACTTGAATTACTGCATGGATCTTATAACTCTCGCTGGAGTACTATCTATCTCCTACTTCGTGTTTATTATTCTACTCGTGAACAATTCCGTTTGCGTCTCTCTCTGCCCTGCATTTATCAGAAAAATCGAAATTTCGTTTCTGAATAAAATGGCCTTCCTCTCTCTCCCTTTCTCTCCTTTAAACTTTCTCATTTTTACAACTGACAAGTCTGAAGAAGTTAGTGAGAACGGTCATTCGCACAAATTTACCCCCTTCCCAATTTATTGTTGGAAGATTAAATACTCCTATTTCCCTGCTAATGACTTTCTCCGGATCCCTCCTGCTCTTCACACAAACATGCAATTACCTGAAGGACATTTCTTCTAACCAGGTAGGTAAGGCAGGCAAGACAGTCTCCTCTTACAGTTTTTACTCTTCGCAGTATTTGTAAATAGGATGTAAAATTCCCTGGTCTACCATTGAACATCTTTAGTATGTGGTGATTGGCATTGAGAGCTATCAGTAGGACGTGTGTGTTTTCACAAAGTCAACTCGTTAATCTCGTTGTGAACAGACATCTGAAGTCATACGAAGAATTGAAGAGAACCCTTGTGACAGACGGAGAGCAGCGTCTTAATACACCCTATCCATGCAAATCTCATACTCAGAAATAGATACAATTGTAGAACATTTTATCCTCGAACAACATGATATTAACTCTTAAACAGAGCTTTTTTGTCACGCCTTTGATGTGATTAGAGAAGAGTTATATGAAAAACTATTTTGTTGAATTATGTCCATCAAAATATACTGCATAGATATCAAAGTGCAAAATCATTTCCACTCCATCTGCATAGTCATATGACTCAAGGGGAATTAGCATAACGAATCAATGAAAACAGTCTCTCGCTGTCTCTAGAACAATATATATCTAAGTCTCTATTAGAAAACGCACATTGCGAATTATGAAAAGAAAGATGCCCATATGGCATAAATACAAAATATGTAGACAGTAGAAACTGAGTGTATTCATGCTGTGCTTCAGGTGTAATATATTAAATAAATGAAAAAGACATCGAAAAAAAGAGTTTAGTTTCTCTCAATACGAACTGTGTAGATCTCGTTTTATCGGTACAAATTTCAGAAATCACATAGAACGTCTAGTCGTAGGAGCACTGTATAACATTTGGAAACCAACTGTCTGATTTGAATGATGCACTAAAACAGAATTTGACCTGGTCACAACATCCCGATCCCCGATGAAATGACAAAATCAACACGAATTTCATAAAAACACGCTGCTTTTGCATTTTTTACAGTTATCAAATCCAACAATCTACAACTGATTTTCTTTTCTTTACCAGTTGGCCAACTTGACAACGCAACAATGACCATATGCTCAGGAACGATGATTCAGTTGATATGAATGAATTGAGATTTTGAAAATTCTGGTTTAACAATATTTTGATATAGCTATTAGCATTAAACAGCGAAAAGTCGGTAAAAACAATATTGCTTGTTTTCCATTCATTGAGAAATACAAAATCCTTTATTATAACGGACATGATCATATTTTTATAACCGTCATGGCGGTTCATATGGGTTTGTGTCGTTTATTCATCTGTCTTGCTTGATTAGAGTTTGCCATATAGGTGATAAGTCTATCCATTCTCTCCTGTTTACTGTATTCGATGTGGTTAAACTGTGCAGGGCTTCAGATGTCAAACCTTCTTCATGTGAATGACAGCCTCTTCTTCTTATATCCGCTGTCTATCGCATGAATTGCTGTAGCTGGTCTTTTCTCTACACTTCTTAATTCTACTTCATTTCTAGGTGGAGGTTTCGTGCATATACCACATTATCATGTTTATCACATGTGACATGTGTTGACGTCTTTTCCACATGACGAATAACACACACTCACATACACTCAAGGAGCAAATATACACTCTAACTATTTGACATTAGTCATTACAAGTATATGAAGACTGCTTACATATTTCTATTGGTACAAATGCCTATCGAAAAGTGACCTTCAAATGAGCTGACTTCATTTGATATAAACGTTTTCACCACATATCTCGATGATGAACACAATCCGAGTAATTCTGCTAAAGAAGCCGTGACTTGTACAGCGAATACTTCAGAAAACAGATCTTGTTTTGATTTATTCATCAACACGCTGAGATTATTTTAAATAATGTATAATGATTCAAATTTTACAATTTGTTGACTCTCGCATCTCGCCTATTCTACTTTACTGATCCCCTTAGTCTCTCATGGCCTACTGTAGATCGAATAAATCATATTGTGAGGGGGAATTACAGATTAACATTTGTAATCTTTGAGAATAAACAAATAATTTCTAATATTAGAAAATTAATAGATAAGCAAAACATGCATTAATCAAAGCCATCTCTCATAGTCTCTCGAAGGATGAGTGAAATGGTTTGATTTGAGGGGAAATTGATTCATCACTACAATTAGAATGATCGCCATCACAGCTGTACCAGACTACCCATCCACCAGTTTCGTCAAGTGAATTACAAAACCAATGTGACGTGTTTTTGTCGTTTTTATTCAGTTCTATCATTGATATTCTGAGTGAAATCAGTGAGTAGAAACACTGGAAGCGTAGATATTTTTAGTAAGTATCCGACCTCCTCATTAGTGATCATAATCAATGATCACCAAACAACATATGAAAATAACTCATGAAACGTGTCTTATATCGTACGATAAAGCCATTTACACAGGGCGGAATTATTTGTGTGATTTCAGGTGAAATTCATGCATCGTTTGTTCTATGAAAATGTGTCAGTGTTACTAATTATTCTATTTCAGAAGTAATTTAACAAAATGAGAGATTTTTAGCCAGTGAATTGTGTAGAATGCTAAAGAGCAGTTGAAAGGGCGGGTGAACCAGTTGGATGAATGTCTTTCACCCTCCCGCTGATTCAGTCCACATACTACACATGAGGCGACCATTCTACTTTACTGCTCCCCGTTAGTCTTTCCTGGGTTACTGAAAAAGGACTATACCATCCTGAGAAGGATGTTGAATATAGTTAGTAGGACTAATGGTGTATAACTCAGTCAGTTTGTCACTACATTAATAGAAAGGCATTTGAATACACGCGAAAAATGGTCTAAAACCATACTCTCCGACCCCCAACACCCCCTCTATTCCCAACTCTCTCTTTGCATCTCTTCAGGTAGAATCAGAAATCAGTACAAAATAATATATGCTCGGACAACCAAGTTTAGGAACTCAACGGTAACATATTTGGCCCGTGTTCTAGGTGACAGAGACAATGTTAAGCGCGAAACCTATGACTTGCTTTGTTGTTAATAACATAATTTTCGCTCTTGTTATTTCCCCCTTATACTCTCTT